GCAACGCTGAAGGATTCTACAGGGAAAATATTAAATGACGCAAGAAGCAACAAAAGAAGACAGATTACACAGAGTCACGTACCAAAAAGAAATTGGTTGACGTTCAACCATTTCAGGAGGTAGCATATGATCAAGAATCGATGGTACTGAAGGGAGAAGTCCAAGCTGCACTGATGGCAATGGCTAGAAACAAGTCTCCAGGAATTGATGGAATACCAATTGAGATGTTTCAACAAACGGATGCAGAGCTGGAGGCACTCACTCGTCTATGCCAAGAAATTTGGAAGACAGTCACCTGGCAAACTGACTGGAAGAAACCCATATTTGTGCCTATTCCAAAGAAAAGTGACGCAACAGAATGCAGAAGTTACTGAACAACATCATTAATATGACACACAAGCAAAATTTTGCTGAAAATCATTCAAAAGCAGTTGCAGCAATACATCGACAGGGAACTGTCAGAAGTTCAAGCAGGATTCAGAAGAGGACATGGAATAAGGGATATCACTGATGATGTCAGATGGAACCTGGATGAAAGCAGAAAATACACAAAGATGTTAACCTGCATTTTATTGACTATGCAAAAGCATCCAACTGTATGAATTGTAACAAGTTATGGATAACATTACAAAGAATGGGAATTCCAGAACACTTAGCTGTGCTCATGAGAACCTGTACATTGACCAAGACGCAGTCGTTCGAAAAGAATGAGAGGATACTGCACGGTTTAAAATCAGGAACGGTGTGAGCCAGGGTTGTATCCTTTCCCCACACTTATACAATCTGTATGCTGAGCAAATAATCCGTGAAGCTGGGCTATATGATGAACAAGGCATTAGGATTGCAGGAAGACTAATTAACAATCTGCGATATGCAGATGACACAACCTTGCTTGCTGAAAGTGAAGAGGACTTGAAGCACTTATTGATGAAGCTCAAAGACCACAGCCTTCAGTACGGATTACATCTCAACATAAAGAAAACAAAAATCTTCACAACTGGACCAATAAGCAACATCATGATAAATGGAGAAAATACTAAAGTTGTCAAGGATTTTATTTTACTTGGATCCACAAGCAATGCCCAGGGAAGCAGCAGTCAAGAAATCAAACGACACACTGCACTGGGCAAATCTGCTGCAAAAGACCTCCTTAAAGTGTTAAAAAGCAAAGATGTCACTTTAAGGACAAAAGAGCACCTGACCCAAGCCATGGTGTTTTCAACTGCTTTATATGCATGCCAAAGCTGGACACTGAATAAAGAAGGCTGAAGAAGAATTGATGCCTTTGAATTATCGTGTTGGCGAAGAATACTGAATATACCATGGACTGCCAGAAAAACGAACAAATCTGTCTTGGAAAAGTAAGCCAGAATTCACTTTAGGAGCAAGGATAGCCAGACTTCATCTCACATAGTTTGGACACGTTATCAGGAGAGACCAGTCCCTGGAGAAGTACATCATGCTTGGTAAAGTAGAGGATCAGCAAAAAAGGGGAAGACCCTCAATGAGATGGATTGACACAGTGGCTGCAACAAGTGGCTCAAGCATAACAACAATTGCAAGGATAGCGCAGGACCGGGCAGTGTTCTGTTCTGTTGTACATGGGGTTTTTATGACTTGATGGCACTTAACAACAACAAAGTGATTTAATGGATTCAGGTACTGAGCATCAATGACTGCCAACATCAAAAAAAGAACATTGTATGCCTCCTGATGGAAGAATATATAATATCACCTGTAACACCGTCTTGCCAATCTGACCAAACTTAAAAACTCCACTACCAATTCTTGGGAAATATAGAGGACAGAGGAACATGTTAAAACAATAAAGAGTTAAAAAAAAAAAAAAAAATAGTGTTTATGAGACAATCAGAAATTTAAACAC